GTAAGTACGTTTTCATTTAAAGGATTTGCCACTGACGATTCAAACGCAAGTTTTGAGCAGAGTAGAGTAGTGCTTGATGTTTGTCACTTCTCCGATCACAAATGCAGACATGGTTTTATGTTTACGCGGCGCGATGCGATGCAACGCGTAAAAAGACAGTATAAGTCATTATAATCCGTAATTATGTCCCCACTGGATGCAACAATTGCCTCGTTTATAATGGGTTTTAATGTTTTTGTCTCGTTGCTCCGGCCGGGACACGCCATCACAGTATGGTAAGGGGCATAACATTTCCGTCACATGCTTGAGGTATTCGGCCAATCACAACGCACTGGATAGCTGGCCAATCACAGCACACCTCGCTTTTCAGACCGATCGACGTGTTTCATAATGTACAGTATGTGGAAAATAATGTGTTTTCTAAACCTTAAACCGCATAAACACATTTCATTACACCAAATACACAAAATAATGTTATTTTTTGATGCAGTGTTCACTTAAAGAGTGTCATTAAACAGCTTGAAAGATCAAAGACAATTTTTAATATAACTCCGACTGGATTCGTCTGAAAGAAGAAAGTCATATAGGATGACTTGAGGGTGAGTAATTTATGGGCTAATTTTCATTTTTGGGTGAACTAACCCTTTAACTGCAATACTATATAAATAACATGTTGCTTCGTATATTAATTAAATGATGTTTACATTGTGATTGTACTAAAGCAATTTTTTTTTTTACATTATCTTGAAAAATTGTATTTTATTTGTTATCTTTCATCATCCACTCTTCTATCCTAAAGATGGCAGTATAAATTTCTGTTAAAAAATAGGGTGGTCATGGTCAATAATAATAAATAACTGAAATTTATTACATGATGTCTGACTTTAGACATTCTTTGGAAAACGATTTGAAACTGTAATATTAAATTCTGCACGTGTTAAATTACGGTGTGAAACATTTATGGTAATATCTTAACATGTTTAATGCAATAACACTAAAAAACATTTTGTAATTTAAATTTTTCAATAATAACTACTTTAGTTTAAGCTTAAGTACTAAAACAACACACTAAAACTGAAATAAAAATAAATTCAAGCTAAATAGAAATATAAAAAAACTAAAACTAATAAAAATGACAAAAGCACATAAATTGACTAAATTTAAACTAAATTAAATGAAAACTAAAAATATAAAAATAAAAGCTATTTCAAAATATTATAATATATAAATAATACTAAAACAGCACAGCACTGGTGTCCCCTAAAAAAAAAAAAGGTACATCATGACACCCTTGATACATGAACACTGATATTCAGTGACCCCATTCAAACATAGTCAGACAAACCATTCAAACACACCTGACCTAGTTCAACATTAAGTCAAAAATGTGTTGGCCCACTACTGACATCCTTCTCTGGCCAAACACATCTCCCTTTTCAGCTTATTTCTAGTCTGAGTCCCATCCAATGACTCTCCATCACTGAACAGGAGTTGTTTTTCTAAGCGTCTGGCACATCTTCTTCCTCACTATTGAGAACATAGATAATATACTAGCATGGCTCTGGACTAAACACTGACGGAAACAGGGAGATATAAATCTACTTTGAATACTTGAGCATCCATTGGGATTGCCCTGTCTTACAATGTCTGCTGAGTACTGTGTTAATTCATAACAGACACATTCTTTTCAAAGAGAAAAACTCCTTGTACAGCACAGTGAGCTAATTTCAGATTCTGGAAATTAAATATTGAAAAAGAGGCCAAAAACTTCCAACAACAGATCGGTATCAAAATCCCCACCAGCTACTTGTTGTGGTTTGATTTTCTTCATGTGCGTCACCAGTCCACTCGGAATCTCTAAATGTATTAGTTACATGCTCTATTAAGTCTGTTCAGGCTTAG